CTCCTTGCTCTGTTAGCATATGCACCTAATAGCAAAAAACGAAAAACATACAAAATAGCTGAAATAAAATTAGTACACTCTGGGGCAGGCCAGTGGCATGATAGTTAAGGGTGCTGGACTCCCGTGTGTCTGACCACAGTTCAAATCCTGGACCTGGTTGCTTGCTTTCTCACTTTCCCTCCTGCTCTCTCTCACTCTGTCCCTCTCTGGTCAAATTAAAATGAATTCTTTCATTCATTCATTTAAATAAGATAATTCTTAAAAAATTAGTACACTCTGACTACAAATTATTTCTTAAAAATTTAAAGGGACCAGCAGATGATATAATGCTTACATTACTGGACTCACACATATTCAACTGCAGATCAAGTCCCAGACCTGACAGCTTAAAATCATGCCAGGCATATGTGTGTGCATGCCCAAAATCCCAAGAGGAGAATGGAGGAGAAGAGATTGCAGTGTGGCCATCCCCCTGGGGGATGAGGGGTGATTTCTCACTTTCTTTCTCTTTCTCTCCATCAAGCACACATGCCCTATAGCAAAAATCTAAGAAAAAAAAATGATAAATACTTATAAAAAATAAACATATGGAACCAGCAATTAGCGTAATGGCTATTTCGCTGGACTCCCACGTAGTCGACCGCGGTTCGAGTCCCGGGCCCGGTGGCTTAAACTCACGCCGGGCGCGTGTGCATGCGTGCCCAAGATCCCGAGAGGAGAATGGAGGAGAAAGGATTGCAGCGTGGCCATCCCCCCTGAGTGGTGATTTCCTGCTTTCTGTCTCTCTGTCTGTCTCTCTCTGTCTGGCGAGCGCACACGCCCTATAGCAAAAATCTCTCCAAAAAAAATAAATAAATAAAAAATAAACATATGCAAAAACAAAATTATAGTTTTGGAAATAAATCTTTTATCCCCATTTTTATTGCTTTTTTTACTTTAGGTCAAAACCTTTCATTTCTGGGACCAGCAGTTAGAGTAATGGCTATGTCGCTGGACGCCCACGTAGTCGACCGCGGTTCGAGTCCCGGGCCCGGTGGCTTAAACTCACGCCAGACGCGTGTGCGTGCATGCCCAAAATCCAGAGAAGAGAATGGAAGAGAAGGGATTGCGGTGTGGCCATCCCCCGGGGAGTGATTTCTCGCTTTCTGTCTCTCTGTCTCTCTCTATCTGGTGAGCGCACACGCCCTATAGCAAAAACCTCTCCAAAAAAGAAAAACCTTTAATTTCTTTGACTTTTTTGGGGGAGGAGAGTTGTTGTTGTTGTTGTTGTTGTTGTTGTTATTGTTATAGGGCACATGTGCTCACCAGAAAGACAAAGAGAAACAGAGAGAAGACAGAAAGGGAGAAATCACCCCCCAGGGGGGGATGGCCACGCCGCAATCCCTTCTCCATTCTCCTCTCGGGATCTTGGGCACACACGCACACACGCCGTGCATGAGTTTAAGCCACCAGGTCCAGGACTCGAACCGCGGTCAACTACATGGGAGTCCAGCAACATAGCTATTACGCTAACTGCTGGTCCCTCTTTGACCTTTTTACATGAATTTCAGACTTTTATCCAAGAGAACCTTAACAAGAACCTTAACAGGAGATTGCTTTTTTAATAGAATTTTTTTTCTTTTTTTTTTTTTTTGGAGGTTTTTGCTATAGAGCGCGTGCGCTCACCACACAGAGAGACAGAAAGCGAGAAATCACCCCCAGGGGGATGGCCATGCCGCAATCCCTTCTCCTCCATTCTCCTCTCGGGATCTTGGGCACACACGCACACACACCCGGCGTGAGTTTAAGCCACCGGGTCCGGG